GCCGGTACGCTTTGCGATATTCACATAGCTACCGTCACTTGCGTTTAAACAATAGGACCCAGCTAAGTTTAACAAAAGGCTATATTTACAAATCATACAAGTATTGATCCATTCTCCGTCATTGATTACCCTGTCCAACCGTTTTCTTCAGGAATACCCTCAAGGATCTGCCGACGTTTTATAAAGAACAAGTCTTTCACCATCGTAAACTGCTACTGATTGATATTACTTTTCATCTGACACACTTTCTCATTCCTTCCAACTGTCACGCTCAAATTACAAATTAAATCTTACTAAAAGCATTTAAATTCTCTTTTCGATCTAAACTGAGTCACATTCACTCTGACAAGTATTGTTTTTTTACTCTTATACACATAACTTCAGTCTTCTTTCTTTCGTTGTTTCTCGATTACGCTTACAGATACGCAATACAATTTTCACCCCCCACGCCGTTTCGTTCATTCGTTCACCTGCATTTTTAGCTTCCTTCGCACGTGTTCAAATACAAAGAACGAAACAAATAAAATCAATAAACTAATTCAACAAATCGATCGATATATAAATGCCGAAAGTGTTGCCGGGATGATTTCGAAGTGAACCCCCACTCCTTTCCGTCAAGTATTAGATAAAAAATCACACGGAAGTCGATTTTCTACCGTCTTGAAATCAACGTCAAACAAAAATTTTCCTTTCACTAATTTTTTTTTAAGTACGTCAAAGCAGAGAAAAAAAGAATTGAAACTATTTGTGCTTAGCAACAACGTCAAAAACTAAACGATTTACAAGAGAAATGTCATTATCTTCTTTACTGTTCGTAGACAAGTGCCATAATGAATGTTTTTCTTGCCTTTCTATCACCTCGACTTCAACTAATACAACTGAGATTAAAGCTACAACTACTATCAAACATTATTAGTATCGCAACAACTAACACTATCACCACCATTTCCGTAAACCCATTAAGCAGTAAAACGATTAAAATCACTGCTGCGATGATGACGTCTAACACATCTACAACTGGAGAAAATACTGGACAAGGAAGGACACTGGAGTTAGACGTCTGAAAGAATCGGTGCATATGCTAGGTTATGAGTATCTCCTTCGAAGGCTTAGCAGAGATTTAATAAAATAATAGACTCAAAAACAAAAAAAAAACAAAAAAGAAAGACAAGTGACAATGAGTCTTGAGCAGCTATACCAGCACCAATCAGCAGTTAAGTTAGGTTTACGGCTCCAAGTTCACTAGAGAAATACCATAACGGCCAAAACATTGTGATAACAGCAACAAAGATGAGGATAATAGTCCGAATATAATTAGCATAAATAACAATTCCTCAATCCAGAAATTTAGGTGATTATAATTCAGAAAAGGACTATTATATAACAGTGGGAATAGACGTTTCCATAGAGAAACATTCTGTATTGACTGAAGGAACAATATATATATATAGTCATCCACAGACAAGCTGTTTCACTCTGTCACCGCCCATCAGTGTACTTGGCAATGATAGCCTCAAGCCGGGATCGAAACCCGGCTGATTTGGTATCAATCGGAGATTTTTGACCTTAAAGGATGAAAGTGAATTAAGACGCATTTATTTTTAGATAAACACGTCAATGACCGGAGAACACGACTCGTCTTAACGAAGGGTCTTGCATCAGCAACAGTAAGAGTCACAAATTCACGTTTCTCCCCGAAGAGCTCAACCGAAATATATATATATATATATATATATATATATGTGTGTGGGTGCGTGCATATGTGCGTTTGTAGTGTGTATAGTGTATATATATATGTGTGTGTATAGTGTATATATATGTGTGTGTGTGTGTATAGTGTATATATATGTGTGTGTGTGTATAGTGTATATATATATATGTGTGTGTGTATAGTGTATATATATATATGTGTGTGTGTATAGTGTATATATATAAGTGTGTGTGTATAGTGTATATGTGTATAGTGTATATATATATATATATATATATATATATGTGTGTGTATCAAACTTGCATTACAATGAATCATTCATATAAAAATATTGTAATATAAATTAGACTGCACCACATATTTGATTTAAAAGAACTGATCCGACGTGCAAATTTTCGGGATAACAATTGAGACATTACTCTAATTATTGAACTATTTATTTTATGCCATATTAACAGATAAACTCCTCCCAAAAAAAAGAAAATTCTTAGATTGCCATATTAGTAAAAAAAAAAAAAAAAAAATGCGCTCACTTAAATTTTCAAAAAATTCAAACTTGGCATTGCGACTGCACACTCCACAAGCTTGTATACATTATCAATAGCACACTTAAAAAAACATATTTCGATTTGCATTATATTTTTTCGTCTCGGATGATACCGGCATTTTCTAAAAAACAAAATAGTTTCCGACCCGTCGAAAGTACTTGCATATTTAAGGTTGACCTAATACAGTTTATGATTTAAAAAAAAGAACTAAACAAGTATCATAACTTTTATCGAGTGATTTGTAGGTTAATGAATCTTTAAAATTTAGTTAGCGAAGTGATTTCGCCATTTTATATCATTAACTTTACTAATTTACTTTTTGTATGAATGATTCATTGTAATATATATATATATATATATATATATATATATATAAGAGAGAGAGGGAGAGAGAGAATTAGCTGTATTTATGGAGTATGGGCAAAATATTAGAGATAGCCTTTATACCGAGTGTAACATCAAAATTGTCTACTTGTTAGGTTAAGATTTGAACCATTGTATCTTGGAAATAATTAAAGATATCTTATTAGAATTCTCAGAGGATTTTGTAACACAGCTACAGAATGTCTAATTACTCTCCAAGCTTAACAGAAGAATGATATGTTCATCATTAATTAGTCATAGCTAAGAATCAGAAGCTCATGAAAGATTGAAATTAAATTCAAATATATACATATTATTCCAGGATCATTTCCCAACTTATTCAAGATGGTCTATGCCCTCTCTAATGTTCTAACTTTCTGTCCTGGAGTAACAAAGTGCCTCACACGTTTCACGTACGATTTCATTTTCAAGTCTTTTTTTTTTCACTGCTCTTTGGACTGTCATAGCTGAAGCTCCTCTCACACGTGCCAAACGTCTTATGGATTGAGTTGGATCTTTTCTAATTGATCACTTTAGCTCTAAGATGAAATGATGACCCCTCTTCCTGTTGTGACCTCCTAATCCAGTTTTCCTCTCTACTGTTGCCTCTTTTTTAAACTTATTCACCGTTTTCTTGATGGTTCTTGAATGCACTTTGAAGATGGAAGCCAGAGTATGAATGTTGGTACCGGTTGGTACTCAAAGACTGAATGAACATTTTCCTCTCAACCTTGCTCAGTATGGGAAGATAGTGGGTTTGACTCAAAACAATTTTAACCTGTTCTCTTTCTAGCTGAATACCTCCAGGGGCTTTTCAGTGATTCTCACGACAAATTGTTTCAAGATGGCTGAACGTCTTATCTGATAACACGGAAAAACGAAACTCTATTTGTTTTGCGTTTTTTTTTTTTTTTTCAAAATTTTTTTGGGGATGGACAATTTTACTGTTACACCATATATATATATATATATATATATATATATATATATATATATATATATATATATATATATATTATATATATATAATTCCAAATAGGTATAATATATAAATTCAAAGAGAGCTTAATGTCAGAACAGACCAAATATAATAATGTTGAAAGCGGAGACTTTATAAATTCATAGTAATAATTTATTTCATGGGGTCAAACACCCATCTCATCAGACCCCAAAATTTAACAACAATATATATATATATAACACCCGGTACTATGTGCACATAGAAAGCCAGATTGCATGGTAACTGTTAATTTTCCGTATCATGCGATCTTCAGGCTTCAATTTTGATTCCAATGTTTATATATATAATGTGTATGTGTGTGATAGTGATGAAAGTACGTCTGTAAATCAACAATCCAATGATGAAAAATATATTTTCGATATAATCTCATCATTTGTCATTTTAATTGATTCAATGCTGAATATTAATTACATAAATCGACATTATGCAGTGAAAAGGGGACATTTTAAATCATAATTTAGATAATAACCACAATTCATGTCACGGATATATTGATCCCTTCCCTAATATATTGGGATAAAATCTTAATAATAGATCATAAAGATAAAAAATAATGAAAGTGCTCCAAACGCAAACAGCGCAATCTGAAATCGGATAAAATTCGAATATTTATGCGACTTCATTTACAGACTATCAGTTAAAATATTGAAACGGTGCGTAGATTGATAAATACATCAAATTGAAATCGTCAGCGTCAGCATGGCAGACATTTATTTTTGTATCCAGTAACTTTTTTTTTTTTTTTTTTTTTTTTTGGTTGATCCTTACTGTTCCGGACAGGTATGCTTTTTACAATGGCTCTTTTTCCAAATCTTAATCTGATATCTGCAAGTTTTTCCATTTTTGTTTTTTTTTTTTGCAACATCCCAATATTCCAATGATCACTCGTACTGCAATAATTTTCTTTGCTAGTTTTATTATTAATTGATTTGTTTTTTTACGGCTTATCAACCTTTTGCAACTTATTTAAAGCCCAAACTGTTTTTATATCGTGTTTAATGATTTTGTTGATACAGTTTCTACTAATTAACTTATAACTGGGACAGAAGAGGTGAATTCATACATTCCCTGGAGTGGTAGCACCTGTACGGGTCCCAGATATGGGCAAATAGTAAAACCGCCAAAACAAAACACCATGAAAGCATAAAAATACATTTTTATAGTAAGCATTTCTAGTAATATATTTTAATATTAAAAAAAAAAAATTACCAAATCTCGCAAGGAAATTAAATGCTGGTATTAAATGACCCATAAGGAGTTGATATGCCGTTAACCAAATCATACCTTTCAAAAATGTACTTAGCACTCTGACTTCTAATTCCGTATCGTCATCTGTTACATCATCCGCACATCAAAGATTACAGTAACTTCGTTTCCCATGCAGTCACTCATCTCAGTACTGACCAGGCTCGACGTTGCTTAACTTCAGTGATCATACGAGAATCGGCTTTTTAAAGTGATATGGCCGTAAGCCTCTTTGCTAGTCTCCTCTAATACTGCTACTACTACTATCATTATTATTTTTATTTTCTCTGACTTCTGGCGTTGACACATTTCTTTCCGGGTCCCGCCCAGGGACCTAAGGTTAGAAATGGTATAATGACACTTTCCACTGACAAAAAAAAAATTACATAGATAAAGCCCTTCGTAAAGTGTGGGCTGTACTTGTCAGAACAATTTTTTGTATCTCTTTAAGGCATGGACTTCCAGGAATCCCTTCAATTAGTCTTCTGGAATCTTTTCCAACCAATCCTAGGGCTCCAACTACAACAGGGATTGTTGATGTTCCCATACGCCACATTTTTGAGATTTCTTTTTCATTATCATCTATCATTAGTATTATTATTATCATTATTTTTTTTATTTTCTTTGATTTCTGGCGTTTACACATTTCTTTCCGGGTACCGCCCACATTATTATTATTATTATCATTATTATTATTATCAACATCATCTCTATTTACTTCCGTATTTTCAGCATTTTGTTGTTGTTTCCTATTTTTGCTGCTGTTGTCAATTCCTAAAACATCCGTTTTAGATTTTTCCACTCTTAGTTCTATTTTTACCATTCCTCCTATTATTGCTAATATGATTTACCAATAAAAATCCTATCCCTTATCGATTTTGTATTACATATTTATTATGATACATTTTCTTCTTATCTTACCCCAGATCAATGTTATTACTATAGCAAACGACAATAAATTTTCGTTTCGATTCATTTTCTGAACGTTCAGAAGAATTCAGTAATTATCATCTCATAAAATGGCCTTTGGTTTGACGCTGATAAATCCTTTTATCATCGCTTGATAGTTTATTTCGAGAGAAGAATGTTCGCAAAAACCTGTTTTGTTTTTATCTAAATGACAAAACAATCTTCTGTTTGTTCAGGGTAAATAACTTTTAAATTGAATTACATACCATCGTTCTAAAAACGGACATTTTACAAAGTATATATTATCATATAACTTTATTTGTTGTTTCTTTTTCTTCTTTTTTTGTTATAATTTTTCGATTTACCTCTTTATAGTAAGTAACTTTTTGTTTTTCCTTGTCATTTCTCCTTTTATTTTAATATATATATATATATATATATATATATATATATATATATATATATATATATATATATATCTTTTGTCCGTTTTTAGAGTCGTCTTAAAATTAGTACCCCCTATGAATTGTTTGAATTAAATACATACTCTTTTGAAGATCAATACCAGATAGTTTTTGTATTTATTGAGTCTTGTCTGAAAAGTATTTCCTGCTTGCTCCTTACAAGTTGATTTCTAACTCTACATTTGGTAAATTATTAAGCAAATCTTTTTCAATTAAAACAAATGCAGACCCGAATATAATTTAAAAACAGTCTTATTTCGACTTCTTCTCTCTTCAGCTATGATTAAATAGTAGGACAGACTAAGTTCTATAGGCTTTGATGGCAACTGATCTAGGAGAAGGACAACTCTGAATTCAAAACCTGCGGAAGGTTGTTTGGGGACTTTGTGGCACGTAGTGCACCAGGTCTCTGTATTCAGCCCTTCAAAATGTGTGGGGCTTCTGCACAAAGCCTTCACCATTATAATCAAATCATACGTGCTGGTGTCTGGCCGTCGCTTCCTAGTAACTGAGTTGCTGACCCTCATACGTCGAATACGAGGGGAGAGCCCACCATATATATGTATATGTGTGCGTGTTCTTTTCACGCTTGTGGAACTCCCTTCCGACTCCATTCTTTCCAGCCAACTATAATCTAAGATTTAAATACAATGTCAATCGTTGAATACCCTTTTCTCTTTCCGCTTATTATTAATGCTACGGTTCCTAATTCTTCCCCGCCTTGCAAACCCTTGTGCCTTAGTGGCTTTACTCTCTTGCATGGGGTGATATCGATTTAAAAAAAATAATGTATTTGTGCGTACATCGTTTAAACTACATGTTTTTTATGTTGCTGGTAAACACAAAGTGTGCTGTGCTTTAATCTTTAATTTCTACATAACTGTTCATTTAATAGTATAGTCTAGCCTCTTTAATCTGGCACCTTTGCGATCTGGCTACTGCCAAACCAGAGAATATGCCGAATGACGGAAATAAATCCTAAAAAAAACCCTATGTAAACACAGTCTAGCCAGCTCGTTCCACATATATACATTTTGTGTAATCAAAGGTAGAACAAAGCATAAAACAGGTAGTAAAGCAATCATTAATGCTTTCACAGAAGCTTTATTAGTGTTTCGTGGTATAAAAAGAGTACCAAATAATAACAGTTACTCATTATACTGTATGAAGCTATACATAAGAAACGAGCAAGGCCGTATCACCGAAACACTATCGCGGAAAGTTGTAAACAGCGTATGGTGCTACCTTCAGAGCTGCTTAACAAACCAATGGCGGCAGATATAAAGAGAATTACCGGTCCATCGAGTGCCGAATTAAAGTAAGTCGGATTGTACTACATAAAATAAAAATGTAATTGGTAAAGCATCAATTTTTAAAAAAAATACAAATTAAAAGTAAAATTAAAACTTCCTCACAATCTATTCACATTTTCTACGCTTACTGCATGGGTACTTCGACGTGGTAGAATGGTTAGAAAACTTGTCTCGATAGATCAATTACAACTGAGTAATGAGTTCGATCCTCAGGGGGTGTTCCACACTTTCGGCCTTGTGCCACATTTAAGCTGCACTTCATTCCTCGCTTACTACATTGCGTGCCTATATTTTCTATGTAAAACTGGAAAGCGTGAAGTAGGTAAACCACTTCTAGTGGTGGACTACTTAGACAGCATATTTTCCCATCACTTACAATAGTGTCCAAAGTATTCATGAGGATTGGAACATACCCATTAGTGTCCATACGTACGGTAGATATAATAAATAAGGAAAGTGTATGCAGACGTTTGTGGAAATGAGTTTTCAACAGTATTAACTAACAACACATTTTTACAGTTACATTAAAGACTTTGCAAAATTTGAAATATTCTCTTAGTGTTTTTTTTTTTTTAAAGAATATTTTTATTTTATTTTTATTGTCTATTTTTCGGTATTTTGCTTGTTAACGTTTTCTAGAGGTTTTCCTACATTCCTTTCATTGCCTTCTGCTTCATCCCTTCCAGCAAAGAATTAGTTTATATTAATATTTTTGTTATTTTTTTTTTATTACTGAAATCTCATTAACCTCACCCACCGCCAATACGCGTTCGGGAACGCGTGCAGTAGGATGGGTGCACAAAACTAAAAAAGCTTTTTTTTGTTCACGCTTAGCTATTTTTATTGGAACCAGAATCAAGCGCTTTCATTTGTATTACTCTGCCCTTGATTGGTCGATATTGTGATGACGTTTCTGCAAAATGCTCGTTCATTAGATAAAAATTCCATATACAGCGACCTCACGTACATTGTTTGACACGCATGTATTCATTTTAATGACACTTTTTATCTATTTATTTTGATTTTGTTGGGAAAATATAAATGTGGAAAAAATGTTTCGACGGGACTCGATCTTCTCAGAAACGTTAATCATATTTCATGTAAATATGATTTCATGTACGTTACACACACGCAGAAAGTTGTCTCAGTTTGTCGAACATTTTGTAGAGTATTAAATCGATTTAGATACAGCGAGAATTTTCATTCCAACCAAACGTATATCTGTATTTTATATGTAAGCGGGCATTGTGTAACATAGTATATATTAACTCTCTATCTTTATGTATCTCGCTATCTATCACTCTATATATCTCTTTATAACTTATATATATGAAGAAATATAGTTTTAAGATGTGCTATGTTTATGGGATAAAGTTCTCAATATCGGAGATAGAGCGTGTGCAAATATATAAGTGAACATAGAAGTCAACACATAGAGGCGACAGTCTGTTTCATACTAGATGCAGTCGTGGACTAACGATTCCATCTAGCATGAAACAGACTGTTGACTTCTGTGTTCACTTTTATATTTATAAATATATATAACTATCCCCTCACCCTCTCTCTCTCTCTCTCTCTATATATATATATATATATATATATATATATATATATATATATTGATATTTTGGCTGGCTTTTGTTGAAAACACGAGGTGAGCATGGTAGAATTTTCGTCAGCGTTACAAGGAATCGACAATTTTCGTTACATCTTGAGCGATGGCTAATAAATACGAGTACTGCTTGGTGTCTGGAGTGTGCCCGAGTCTCATTAGACGTTTCAAGCAAGGAGACTCATTGCGATTGCATCATGGCAGGAGAAAACTCAGTCTTTCTCTGCGATCATGAAGCCTTTCTAGTTTCGTTCTTGTATCAAATGTCCCAACACCGACAGATTATTCCAGCATGAAATCTCGTCCAAGTGAGCCAGAAATTATTTGAGAAGTATTCAGAACATTTCTGGCGAATGGTGTGTGGCCACCACCTTCACCCGATGCAGACCCAATCGAATATTTATGAGACTTGGTGAACAGATCGATTTTCACGCAAGATCATGAAGCTACAAAAAATATCTCCAGAGAATTTCCGACCATTTGTGTAATCGATGTCACGTCGTGTTGTTGCACTTGTCTGGTTAATGGTGGTCCTACACGATACAAGGCACATATATTATGATTTTGGCACGTCATATATATATATATATATATATATATATATATATATATATATATATATATATATATATATATATATATCATGTGTGCATATATTTTCATGTATAGGCTACTAGGGCTTCAATAATTTTGGGACGATTTTACGCGCGTGCGCACACACACAAACACATATAAATATATGTTGAATGTTTATTTAGCAATTTCTCAGTTAAAGAAACGATTGATGTAATTATAAAGAATACTTTCAACAAGTCATCTGTCCCTCCACTAAAATTTAACTTAATATATTACGAAAATTATTTTTTAATCGTAACATTGAGCTTTCCTTTCTATGAGTATCAAAATAATATCTACGTAAATGTGATGGCGTTTCTATGGGTTCTCTTCTGGGACCAACACTTAGTAACTTCTACATGGCTAACCTTGAAAAAAGATATTTAACATCATTAAGAAACCTTCTATCTAAGTAAAATATGTAGATGATATTCTTATAGTTTAAAACATAGATGAAATACACGAACTACAAGAAAATTTAAAAAAAATATATATTCGTTCTTAACTTCACATATTAACAATAAAATCCCTTTCTTGATGTATTGATAGTCACTAATAACAATACATTTACGACCTTCCCGTACAAAAAGCAACTAGCATAAACACGTGGACTCTAAACTATAAAAGTGAATGCCCTGAATATTACAAAATAGCTATTATACAAATTTCATAAATCATGCAAAAGTTAATTCTTCCACAAAAAATTCTACACTGAATTAAAAATAACATTAAACAAACTCTAAAATGACTATCCTAACTACATTGTTGATGGCCGAATTCGACGAACCATTAGAAATATTAAAACAAATCAAATATTTCCTCAAATAAAACATCAGCCTACTACAACTTAATGAAATGTATTCTAATTATAAACAAGATGAGCAAATCCTAAAAATCTCATAAATACTAATATATTTCCAACTGATACCAATAAAAAATGAAACTATGAACTAAACTAAATTTAACAGAAACAACTTAAGCATACGCAATACCTCTTCTCCGTTAACTCGTGTTTGGGAAAAGGCCAACATTGTTTATCAGTTTAAATATCCTTGGGAGATTGTATCTCTGATAAAAAGGTAAGTACATATATTAGTTTGACGACCACAACATTATCAAGACGTCTTACACTACATTTGTCGGATACAAGATTTAAAAACACATTCCTGTCCGCCTTCACAATACAGGAAAATACTTGTTGACAATACCAATATACTACACCATGAAAATAATAGTAAAATTTTCGTGACCCTCTATATAAAAACAACCAACCAACACTGAATAAAATTTATTATGAGTATAACAGCAACATTTTAAAATGGATTTAACCAACATTTAATGCCATCTTGCATTTCTACCATCTCTGGTTAGCTCCCTTACATTGGGAACCTTCCAAAAAACACCATAGCAACCCCGGATGAATGTAAAATTTAAAAATAATTATAACAGAGCGCATTCACGCGTGTTTTCAAAATCACCAACATAACGAACGATATATATATATATATATATATATATATATATATATATATATATATAATATAAAGTGAACATAAAGTCAACACTTAGAGGCGACAGTCTGTTTCATGCTAGATGCAATCGTTAGGCCACAATTGCATCTAACATGAAACAGACTGTCGCCTTTAAGTGTTGACTTTTATATTTACACATGCTCTATCTCCGATATTGAGCACTTTCTCCCATAAATATAGCACATCTTAAGACTATATATAAAACAACAAAGATGAGGACAACAGTCCAAATAATATAAATGGTTAGAGTACCTAATCTCACAAATATAGACAGATATTAAATAATACATTGTTTATAGTTTCTTTACATTTATCATCCATTTCCGAGTATATGAAAAATTGCATCCAATGGGGTGCTTTGAATTTTTTTATAAACAATGGCTACCGAAGATGTTGTTAATGTTTTTGCCTGCAAATTTCTTAATCCTACCCAGATCAATAATAATAATAATAATATTATTTTTATTTTGTAATATATATTTACTTTATATTTATCTAAAATATGGTTCGGTTTCAAATCGAAATTTCTCGTAAGAATCAAATTTTTGTTCTTTGTGCTGTCTCGTATAAGCTGAAACCTTTCTCTTTGATTTTGCCTTGCAAAACGTTTTCATCAATTTAACCTTCATCATTTACACTATTTACATTGTTCGGACTGTTGTCTTCGTCTTTACTGTCATATTCACGACGTTTCGACCACTGTACGCTCCGGCGATTTGCAATCTGGTGATTGGAATTTCGAACCGAACCCTTTATTTCGTCCACCGGAGTAAATTATTCTAGTCCCACTTGCCATACCTCTTCTGGTTATTTCCCTTTAGTAATTCAACTCGCCAAGTTTTTGTTCATCTCTGCTGTGGCTAGGTATTGAACTAACAGCTCCTTGGGTCACTAGATTACTTCAACCAACGCTTTTATCCACAGGTCTCCAAGGGCACATGGCCCAGTGTAAATAATGACAATACCTCATCTAAAAAATATAGACAGATATTTAACTTTTTTATTTTCTCATAAATTTTGTTTCGTATTTCATTCAATTCCTCGTTAAACCATCGTTTTCCTTTGTGAATTTCATTTTTTCTTATTCACATAATTTCATTTTTTTTTCATTCATTTTTCTTTGTCTTGTTACTCTTTTTCGCCATCATTTTTTTGTTTTTAATTTCCTTCCTTTTTGTTTTTTCCCAACTCGAACTCCCATCAGATTTATTTTCTTTCACTCCCCCTTTTCTTCTTTTTTTTTCTTTGGTTTTTATCTTTTTCGAAGTTTCCCTCATTTTTCTTTCGAAGGTTCGTGAAGGCAGGTCAAACTTAGCCACCGTATATCAATTTCCGTCCTTCAGTTTAAGTATTAATAGGGGCAAGTTGTTAAAATTAATTTTCTGTATAGGTCAAAGGTAACAATCACTCATCAGAGAACAAAAATGTTTCTAAAGATGCTGCTTAGCTTCGGGTAGTGTCAGCTAGCATCTGTTAATTATCAGACAATTTCAACTTCCTCCTTCCCTTCCATTAGTCTTCATATGTTTCTTCTCCCAATTATTTTCCAACACTTCTTCCTCCCTTCCTGTCGTCGTTCTGACCTAACTTCCGTTTTTATCTAACTAAGCATACCCGAAAGCCTTTATTTTGTTTTTCTTTCTTTCCTTCTTTTCTTTGCCTTTGTATTTCTCTTTCCTTGTCGATTTTCTTTCTTTGTCTTTTTCCCATTCTCTTTTTAACTAATTTCTTTTCCCCCTTTTTCTCTTCTCTTTCCCCCCTTTTCTCTTCTCTTCCCCACTTTTTTCTCTTCTCTTTCCTCCCCCCTTTTCTCTTCTCTTTCCTCCCCCCTTTTCTCTTCTCTTTCCCCCCTTTTTCTCTTCTCTTTTTCCCCTTTTTCTCTTCTCTTTTTCTCCCTTTTTCTTCTCTTTCTCCTTCTTTTTCTTCTTTTCCTCCTTTTCTCTCTCTCTCATATACTCACTTTTCTCTCTCTCTCATATACTCACTTTTCTCTCTCTCTCTCATATTCTCACTTTTCTCTCTCTCTCTCATATTCTCACTTTCCTCTCTCTCTCTATTCTCATTCCTCTCTCTCCTCTCATATTCTCTCTCTCTCTCTCTCATATTCTCACTTTCCTCTCTCTCTCTCTCATATTCTCACTTTCCTCTCTCTCTCTCTCATATTCTCACTTTCCTCTCTCTCTCTCTCATATTCTCACTTTCCTCTCTCTCTCTCTCTCATATTCTCACTTTCCTCTCTCTTCCCACCCCTTCCTTCTCTTTTCTTTTGCCTTCTCTTTTCCTTTTTTGTTTCCCTTACTCTTTCTTTATCTATACTCTTTATTTCGTATTCAACTAACTTTTATTTATTTCAAGTTGAGCTGCTGGTTCTTTCTAGATTTCATCTTTCTATCTTTATCACTTTTTGTTTACCCTAATTTTCCATTCTCTGCTGTTTTTCTTCTTTTTTTCTTATGACATTTGGCACGTTTCCTCTTCCCTTTTCTTAATACCTATTTTCCTTCCTCAATGCTTATTTTCTCTTAACATCATCTCTCCGTTATTTATGACATTTTCTCTCTTTCTTTTTCCTTCTCGACTTTTCCAAAAAATGGATGGTTTTTCCCCCGACATTCCCGTTCCGTTAGGCTCTGTCCTTTTTTTAATTGCGTGTCTATTTCTAAAGATCTTAAGGATAATCTTACTTATATTTCCTTTTGACACCTGATAAATAGGATCCGAAAGACATAAAGACACTTGTGACCCACCCCTCACTCCACACACGCACAGACTATTCATCTCAGCGTGACTCAAGTAAGTATCAAACTGATTTGATGAGATATATTCAATATATACATATGTTAGCGATTATCTGCAAGTGTGTGGGATGACATCGTGTAATAGTTAAGTTAATCGTCACTTGTTTGTCACTTGTCAAACTAAGCAAAGTTTATTAAAAAATCAACTCTATCTGCTTGCTAGCTGACGTAGTTGCGTCTTTCTCACTGGTGATGGTAGTTGGTGTTCCGACTAGTATAAGATCTAAAATTTTCGGTGATTTCTTCAGGATTAGATAATAATCATAATCCGCAACATTGGCGCAGTAAAGTCTTCTTCCATTTGGCCATCCGGCAGATTTACACACACATACACACACAACATGCATATATGCAGTGTGATAGGTCCTGACCTGGCATCTCGGCTACAGACACGTGAGGTGGTTTCCCTCTGTCTTTTCTACAAATATTTTCATGTTAAATGCTCTGCCGATTTAGTTTCAATGGTACACCAACTGCATTAATTTAAGCGTGCTACTAGGTTAGCATCTCAGTCCCACCGTTTCACTGTCGAAACAGTTAAATGTAATCGCCTCTTCTACTCCAACAGCTTCTTCTCTCGCACTTCTCGACAGTGGAACTCCCTTTCTCTTACTTGCCTTCCTGATAGCTATAATCTTTCAAATATTCAAATGTAATGTTAATCGACACCTTCTGATGCCTTGATCTTGATCCCCGTCCTTCACTTCAAACACCCCTCTTTACTCTTACTTTCACTCTCTGTAACCCCTTGCGTGCTAGTGGCACCCCCGCTTTGCTTGGGGTGAAATGCTTAAAAAGAAAATATACGTACGTATGTATAGGTATGAATGAGCAAAAAAATTAACTCAGTAAGACATCTACTCTCATGTTACATGTTTGGCCAGAGATCACATATTCATTTTGATCTGAGGACCGTTTGCACGGTCTTGGTGTAATTTGGTAGCCTATTAGAGTGGAGCTTAGTGCGCATGCTTAATCAGGCGATGGAGACACCGTGACATTCTCAATGACGCTATGTAAAGTTTTCTTTTGGTAGGATATAGCATCATCCAAGTCTGGTCTCCCACATAGCGTCCAAAGATAAAATCACCGTTGGAAGAGAAGTGATATAGACTGTAGACGAGATTAAGGAGAACGTGACGAGTCATTGGATAGCGATCCCCCAAAAGGATATTGCTGTCTTTTTTGAGAAGTAAAAAGGTACAGAGAGATTTTTTTAAGTATTACGCCCCGAGCAAGGCGTGAAGCCACTAGGATGAAGGAAGTTGGAGAAGATTTGGAGCGAGAGCAGATAGGAGTGATAGAAGAAAGGATGAGGAGAGGGATAGTGTATAGATCAAGGTAACTGGAGATGTCGATTGACATTTCATTTGAATAGTTGGAGATTATAGCTCTCAGGGAAACAGTAATAGGGAAGGGTGTCCCACAGGCGAGAGGTGCGAGGTATGAAGCTATTGGAGTAGAAGAGATGGCTACATTTAAAAGTTTCTACAGTGTAAGGGTGGGAGCGGGATGTCAGCCTCGTAAGGCGCTTGAATTCATGAAGTCTGGGAACCAGTGAAAGCAGCTCATCGGAGCAATTACCATGAAAGTATTTGTAGAAAAGACAGAGAGAGGCGACGGCGCGTCTGTGAGAGAGTGACTGTAGACGAGATGCCAGATCAGGGCCAATTATATTACATATCCGTCTCTGGATCTTGTCAAGAACTCCGAGGTAAACAGAAGTTGCACCAGACCATATATGGCAGCAATACTCTATGCAAGGGCGAATGGTTGATATGGGGGCAGGGAAGGATCTCCATGGTGATTAATAGAGATTAGTTTAGTTTTTGAGACGTTAAAGTTGACCAGCCAATTCTTGCCCCAATTAACAACCGATTGGAGGTCCATTTCATGACGAGCGGCCAGGTTAGTTTTGTCAGCGACACTAGATTTGTTTTTGAGGCAGGAGTAAATTGTAGTGTCGTCCGCGTAGATGCCAACTTGGGAATCTATGGCGTCAGGAAGGTCGTTGATGAAAATAAGGAATAGAGTGGGGCCAAGGAAGGAGCCTTGGGGAACACCTGCGTTCGTGGGATAGGAACTGGAGGAGAATCCGTTGAGAACGACCTTCAATTCACGGTTTGACAGGAATGGTTGTATTAGGTCAAACAATCGACCTGTAATACCATAACCCTGGAGCTTGCGAAGAAGTGAAGTTCTCAAAAGAGTATCCTTTTATGCAGTTTAAGGAGTCAGTGCACTAGATCGACTTTTTTCTCGTTAATATTAAATGTCTGAATATCACTTGAATTGAGTTTCCGGCTCAATAACTTGCGGCCCAATAACTTTCCGGCTTAACTCTATATTTCTGCCATCTCCGCCCAAATTTTGAAACTTAATTTAGTATTTGTTATTTTTTTTTTTTTTTGCTAAGTAGAAGTAGAGAAATTCACCTATCGTTCGGTTCACACTCCTCCCCATTTTTTTGAACAGGAGTAATAGTTTATCCCTTGTTTCCGTTTCCTTCTAAAGTTTTCTCATTCTTTTTCACTCCCAGTGGCCCCTCTTACTGGCATTACTATTACTGGGGGGGGGGTGACTTGATTTTTTAAAAAAAGTATAAACTTAGATGTTTTGATGATCATTGCGCATATTTTTAGAATATAAAACAGTCAAAATAAATTTAAGGATATAAATTTCATTGGTTCATGTAATTCAGTGTACTTGATTTTATTTCCCAGATATACAAAATTTGAAGGCTGTTAGAATATGCATCCAGAAATCTCGTTGCTAAATAAATATCCAATGAGATAAGTTCTGGTAAACTGCACTTTTATGGCATAACCGAGTAAATAACAAGCGAAACCCAAGCCGATCATTTACTATCAACCATCAGAAAGAAAAATGTACGTTTTCTCTGTTCTCACTAACGAGGAGAAATCTTTCTAGCGTTTGATGTTAGCGTGTTAAGATTTCAAACCTACGTTTACTTCTTTTCCTTATATCTGATCTCCGAAATTTATATACGACAATAGAGTTAATTGCAGAGATAAAATTCTGGATTACTCACGCTGAAAATAAAACAAATGGAACTGCAAAACTACTTAGATATTTACGTCATCTCAACTGTCAATTTTAGAAATTATTGTTGTACTCTACACTTACATTAAGTCCGTCTTTTCATACTTCGTAAAGAGCATTGAACAGTTCACCATTACCATAACGGAACCGTCACCTGACGTAGCCACTGAAAGGGAAATAACTCTCATTAAGCAGAAAGTTACAGTAAAAAAAAAAAAAAATATCCAAACACCTATAACGTAATACATATATAATTATTTAATTTCTCTCGTTCCCTATGAAACATTGGGCTCCTTATGAAGCTGCATCCGAACAAATGCTAACCAAGCGTAGCAGAGGTCGTATTCATTCGGACATGCAAATAGGAATTTCAGTGGGAATTAGTATTCATAAGCGATCCCCAGGCATATGTAAGTATATATATATATATATATATATATATATATATATTTCTACCCCCAACAAAAAAAATAAAAAATTGACATAATTTCAAATGTGAATATCTGAATAAGTACATGTTCCAAGCAAAAAATAAAATAAAATAAAAATAAAATAGGTTTCATGTTGAACAGTAAAAGGCATATTTATAAAAATTCGAACAAGAAATTCAAAGTGATGTAGATTTTATAACCGATTTCACAACGCTTAAAAATGTTCATTATGCACACTTTTTGTGACTCGATATACGCGATGTTGGTAGTCCTCTAAACTCGCTGTAGTATGTCTTGCGTAACCCTCTCCAGTGTCTCAGTTATTCACGGCTTAATTTCCTCTAGGCTTGTGGGAAGAGTGGGGGTATAGCACTGTCCTTTTGTTGTAACCTAAAAAGGGTTACTAAATGAGGAATAACCAAAAACGGATGTTGGTAATGAAATGGTAATCTTTATAACATCAACAAAATACAATACTCGCCAGCGGCGTGAAGTAGGTAAACCACTGCTAGTGGTGGACTACTTAGACTGCATATTAACCCCTCTTACAATAGTGTCCAATGTATTTATGAGGACTGATACATACTCATTAGTGTTCATAAATACGGTATATAACACCTTTCATATAGCCCCATAGAAAAAAATCACAGGGCGTTTAGTTAGGTAAACTTCAACAGCACATTGTCATTATCACTGGCCCGATTCATCTTCCTGGTCGATTCTCATTGAGATAAGTTCGCATTGGATATTTTGTCCGAATTTTGATAAATAAATCTTATTGTGTTTAACATGAGACCTATTTAATTTCGTTTGCCTGGGACATGTAGTTACTCAGATATTCACACTTTAAATGATTCTTATTTTCTTGACACACACACACACACACACACATATATATATATATATATATATATATATATATATATATATATATATATATATTCGTAAAATTACAAGAATATAGATGCACTATGTACTTATCTTTAAACCATGTCAGAATGGACTTTGCACGTTATTCTTCGGGTGGAGATTCGCGATTCAATGTCAGCGGCTGCACGCAAAATGCAACTGCTCCTAGGATATGCGCACATAAGAAAGAACCGAGTATAAGACAGATATATAAACACCCACCTTAGAGAGGAAACGCCTTCTCTTTCTCTTACAACCACACTAGAATGTATTCCAGGTTTGGAGAAGGCTCCGATGCCCCACCTCACAGACATATACTGGCCGACAGCAATTAACGTGGTCATGAGTTCAATGAAATATATTGTTAAGTAGGAGATTAAGTCTCGTTTTGATTGTGCGTCCGACAATAATTTTTCATACAATTCAATAGATATAAGTACACAGCTGGATAATATAAGAAAGAATATGACTGCAGAAAAATATAAAAAGAAACTTTTAAGCTTTTA